TCTGGAAGAAAGAACAGCTTCTGCTCTGGCACAAGCCCTTTTGTTCCCCAGCCCTCTTCTTCCCTATTGGTCAATTTTGGCTCCAAAACCTCTTGGGGGCTTCTGGGAGTTGTAGGCCCAGCCTCACCTACTGCTAGACAGGCTCCCTGGGCCTAGTAGGCCTCTGGTGGCACAGACCAGATCATGACAGCGCACTTAACCACTGCACCAAACTGGCTCTCAGTTTAGACTCAAAGTTCTTGATGAACCACTGTTCTGATCCAGCAGGGCTCTTCTTATGTTCTTATGGCAGTTCTGAAGATCATTTTGAGATAGACAAGAGTGGCTGTAGTGGAGAAGCTTGAACAACAATTCAAAAACTTGCATTTTGTTCTGTTGCTGATGTCTTTGTCCAGTTCATACAACAGCCTTTTGTCTGTAGCAGCTTCTTACGACAACAGCAGATACATGTGGTTGAAAAGCCCCATACCATCTCTCTCCTTGCCTCATTCACCCACCTTGAGACGATAGATGGGTTCAAATCACAGCAAAAAAAGGGCCAACTCAATTAATGTTCACTGTACACACTTCCTGAATAAGCATACGTTCTAATTCCTTTCTATAACCAAATCCATTGATTTAAACCTAAATGGAACCGTCAGTAATTCCAGTCATGTATCTTTTGTGCTGCAAAATTATATCGAGTTAGAGACGAGGGAAGCGGTTGCAAAATTAATGGATTTCCATTTGGCTCACTGTACGTATGGCAAGGAGTCCAAACAAGATTGTTTACTCAGACTAGGTATTCAGAACATTTCAGAAGAAAGGGCGAATACTTAACTGGAAAGGGGGGGACAGACCTTTCCATCTCTTGGAGAAAGTGTCGTTGGGACAGTCATTAAATATTCCTAATTTAAAAATGAACACATTTTCGAGTTCAGGTAGTTAATGGGGGGTGGTGGAAAATAGTTCATATGGGATATAAGTGATCGGGTGTGTGGTGATTGCGAGTCTCCAGGGCAACTAGAAACATCCCAATAATAGACATATAGGTTTGTATCCTCCCTGAACTGGATGGCTCAGGCTTGCCTTGATATCGTTAGATCTCAAAAGCTTCACAGGGTCAGCCCTGTTTAATAATAATAATAATAATAATAATAATAATAATAATAATAATAATAATAATAATAATACCTTTCGATTTATTAATAATACCTTTCGATTTATTGATCGCTCAATCCGGCAGAGCTGCTGGCTCTGAGCGATTTACAGTTTAATAATAATAATAATAATAATAATAATAATAATAATACCTTTCGGTTTATTGATCGCTCAATCCGGCAGAGCTGCTGGCTCTGAGCGATTTACAGTTACACAGGTTTCACACAAGGGACTAACAATTTCATAGGGGTAAGGGAGGACAATATATAATTCTTTAAATCGCACACATTTGCAGCCGACGGGGATTTTGTTCAGCTGAAAGTTTCAAACGTGTTCCAGACAGCATTCACTTCGGTTTGGCTTGATGATGTTGGTTCTTCCTGGGCTGCTTTTTGAGTCGTAGCGCCGCACTGCCACCGCCTGGCCGAAATGGCCCATCATAGGCTTCTTAATGCCTAAGAGGTCTTTTTTTCAGGCTTACGAGCTTACGAGCTGGGCATTCCATTCGCCGGCTAACACCTCCCCTACGGGGGTTTAGTGTGCCCACCCTTTCTAAGGAGTGGTACCCATTTTATCTACTCGCCGAAGCTTTTGAACCGCTGGGTGGACGGTGAGCTGGGGACAAGGCTGGTAGCTCACACCAGCGTGGGCTAGAACTGACAGCAACTCTGTTCAGTTCAGATGTTGACCAGAGGATAAATCCTCTGTGCCACCGCTCCCCTCTGTGGGTATGTGGGTGGGATGCCACCAAGGAAGTCCAGGATTGTTACGTAGAGGCAGGCAGTGGCAAGCCTCTGAACATCTCTTGCCCTTGAACACACGAAACCGCCTTGTGCCGAATCAGACCATCGGTCCACCAAAGTCAGTATTGTCTACTCAGACTGGCAGTGGCTCTGCAAGTCTTTCACTTCACCTACTGCCAGATCTTTTAACTGGAGACACCGGGGATTGAACCTGGGACCTTCTGCATGCCAAGCAGACGCTCTACCACTGAGCCACAGCTCCCCCCCTTGAAAACCCATGGGGTCGCCATAAGTCGGCTGTAACATGAGAGCACTTTCCACCACCAGGCTTGTATCCTGCACCATTCTGCTCAGCCAAGTGTGATGTCCTCCATCATCCCAGGGAGTCTTTCTCCAATCGAAATGGCTTTTCCGGAGGAAGGCCCCAAAGTTGGCTGAGTGGCGTAGCATGAGACAGTCCCATTGTGCTCGCAGTGCTAGACCTCAAAGGAATAGATGATCACGAATTAAATTTAGGCCATTATTATAGGCTTTAGCGTGTTTGCATGCATTAGATTGCATTAGATTTCCTGCCAACCTAGCAGTTCGAAAGCAAGAAATTGCAAGTAGATAAATAGGTACCACTTCGGTGGGAAGGTAAAAGCATTCCGTGCGCCTTGGTGTTTAGTCATGCCGGCCACATGACCACGGAAACGTCTTCGGACAGTGCTGGCTCTTCGGCTTTGAAACGGAGATGAGCACCGCAACCCTAGAGTCGGATTCGACTGGCTTTCGAGCAAGGGAACCTTTACGCGTTAGATTTAATTTCATCTTTTCCCGTTCTGCTTTTAGACACTTTCTATAGGTGGGTTTTCCTAGGGAG